TGCCACTGAGTTTGTTATTACTCATCTGTTCACTACCCTAAGCTGAGGAAAGAGCCTGATTCTGTAAGAAATGTGGATCAGTGTATAGACAAGACTTTCTCTCTCCTTAGTTCTGGTGTGTGAACTGACCCAAAGAGAACATACACCAGGTGATCTTTCTCTTGACAAGCACTCATTACAGGAGATTTGAGGTGAGTGGTTATGCAGTTTGGGCACTGCACAAAGAAATACATTTGAACTGTGTCATGCACATCAGAAATTTGTGTATTCATTATTTTACCTTTTTATAGCAAGGTGGTAGTAAAATATCTTTTTTTTTCATTTTTCTTTTATTATTCATATGTGCATACAAGGCTTGGTTCATTTCTCCCCCCTGCCCCCACCCCCTCCCTTACCACCCACTCCATACCCCCTCTCCCCCCCTCAATACCCAGCAGAAACTATTTTGCCCTTATCTCTAATTTTGTTGTAGAGAGAGTATAAGCAATAATAGGAAGGAACAAGGGTTTTGCTGGTTGAGATAAGGATAGCTATACAGGGCATTGACTCACATTGATTTCCTGTGCGTGGGTGTTACCTTCTAGGTTAATTCTTTTTGATCTAACCTTTTCTCTAGTCCTGTCCCCTTTTCCTATTGGCCTCAGTTGCTTTAAGGTATCTGCTTTAGTTTCTCTGCGTTAAGGGCAACAAATGCTAGCTAGTTTTTTAGGTGTCTTACCTATCCTCACCCCTCCCTTGTGTGCTGCTTTTATCATGTGCTCATAGTCCAATCCCCTTGTTGTGTTTGCCCTTGATCTAATGTCCACATATGAGGGAGAACATACGATTTTTGGTCTTTTGGCCAGGCTAACCTCACTCAGAATGATGTTCTCCAATTCCATCCATTTACCAGCGAATGATAACATTTCGTTCTTCTTCATGGCTGCATAAAATTCCATTGTGTATAGATACCACATTTTCTTAATCCATTCGTCAGTGCTGGGGCATCTTGGCTGTTTCCATAACTTGGCTATTGTGAATAGTGCCGCAATAAACATGGATGTGCAGGTGCCTCTGGAGTAACAGTCTTTTGGGTATATCCCCAAGAGTGGTATTGCTGGATCAAATGGTAGATTGATGTCCAGCTTTTTAAGTAGCCTCCAAATTTTTTTCCAGAGTGGTTGTACTAGTCTACATTCCCACCAACAGTGTAAGAGGGTTCCTTTTTCCCCGCATCCTCGCCAACACCTGTTGTTGGTGGTGTTGCTGATGATGGCTATTCTAACAGGGGTGAGGTGGAATCTTAGTGTGGTTTTAATTTGCATTTCTTTTATTGCTAGAGATGGTGAGCATTTTTTCATGTGTTTTTGGCCATTTGAATTTCTTCTTTTGAGAAAGTTCTGTTTAGTTCACATGCCCATTTCTTTATTGGTTCATATCATCAATAGCTATAGCAAGGTAGCAGGATATAAAATCAACATAGAAAAATCATTAGCATTTCTATACACTAACAATGAGCAAACGGAAAAAGAATGTATGAAAACAATTCCATTTACAATAGCTTCAAACAAAATCAAATACCTAGGTGTAAACCTAACAAAAGATGTGAAAGACCTCCACAAGGAAAACTATACACTTCTGAAGAAAGAGATTGAGGAAGACTATAGAAAGTGGAGAGATCTCCCATGCTCATGGATTGGTAGAATCAACATAGTAAAAATGTCGATACTCCCCAAAGTAATCTACATGTTTAATGCAATTCCCATCAAAATTCCAATGACATTCATTAAAGAGATTGAAAAATCTACTGTGAAATTTATATGGAAACACAAGAGGCCACGAATAGCCAAGGCAATACTCAGTCAAAAGAACAATGCAGGAGGTATCACAATACCTGACTTCAAACTATATTACAAAGCAATAACAATAAAAACAGCATGGTACTGGCACAAAAACAGACATGAAGACCAGTGGAACAGAATAGAGGATCCAGATATGAAGCCACACAACTATAAGCAACTTATCTTTGACAAAGGAGCTAAAATATACGATGGAGAAATAGCAGCCTCTTCAACAAAAACTGCTGGGAAACTGGTTAGCAGTCTGCAAAAACTGAAACTAGATCCATGTATATCACCCTATACCAAGATTAACTCAAAATGGATCAAGGATCTTAATATCAGATCCCAAACTCTTAAGTTGATACAAGAAAGAGTAGGAAAATACTCTGGAGTTAGTAGGTATAGGTAAGAACTTTCTCAATGAAACCCCAGCAGCACAGCAACTAAGAGATAGCATAGATAAATGGGACCTCATAAAACTAAAAAGCTTCTGTTCATCAAAAGAAATGGTCTCTAAATTGAAGAGAACACCCACAGAGTGGGAGAAAATATTTGCCAATTATACATCAGACAAAGGACTGATAACCAGAATATACAGGGAACTTAAAAAAACTAAATTCTCCCAAAGTAAAATATCTTTTTCTGAGAAATTAGTGTATTGCAATGACTTTTGAGATAAGTGAAGCAGAGTTTCGAGGAAAGAGTCTGTTCTAATTCACTTTTACTCATTAGAATTCATGCAATGCAACAAAAAGGACAGGGTGAGTTTCCATATTACATAGTCATTGTCAAATCCAAAGTGGAGGTGACAGAGGTGAGAGTTGAGCCTTGGCTGAATTACTGTCAGGAAGGAGAGATTTGGTCAGATCTGTAGGATATGAAGGGAAGGTGGTAGTTCACCTCAGTGTGACTTGCAATGTTTTTATTTAATAATTAACAGATGAATCAATTTATATGTCCATTTATCTATTTGCATCCAGCATTTTAGCAGTCACTCTATTAATGAATGAATGCATTCATCCTACCTTCATCCCTTCATCCATCATAACCTCCTTCATCTAAGCATCCATCCATCCATCCATCTTTGTAGTGGTGCTTCTGGTCACATATTGTTTTAGTTTCTGCTTATCATGGAAGACTTTTATTGCTCCATCTATTTTGAATGATAGTTTTTGCTGGTAGAGTATCCTGGGTTGAAGTTATTTTCATTAAGTGCCTGGAAAATCTCACCCCAAGCTCTTTCTTGCTTTTAATGTTTCTGTTGAGAAGTCTGCTGTGATTTTGATAGGTTTACCTTTGTATGTTATTTGTTTTTTCTCTCTTACAGCCTTCAATATTCTTTCCCTAGTTTATGTACTAGGGAAATGTTTTAGTGATGATATGCCGTGGGATAGTTCTATTTTGGTCTGGTCTATTTGGTGTTCTGGAGGCCTCTTGCGTCTGTATGGGAATAGATTTCTCTAGATTTGGGAAATTTTCTGTTATTATTTTGTTGAATATATTACGCCTTCCCTTTGCTTGCACCTCTGCTCCTTCTTCAATGCCCATGATTCTCAGGTTTGGTCTTTTGATGGAGTCAGTGAGTTCTTGCATTTTCTTTTCACAGGTCTTGAGTTGTTTAACTAATAGTTCTTCAGTTTTTCCTTTAATTACCATTTCTTCTTTGAGTTCTGAGATTCTGTCTTCTGTTTGTTCTTTCTGCTGGCTTGGCCTTCTGTTTTGTTTTGCAGTTCTGTTTTGTTTTTTTTCTGAGGTTTCCATATCCTGGCCCTTCCTCTTTAATGTTGTCTATTTTGTCCCTGAGTTCATTTATCTCTTTATTAATTGTGTTCTTTGTTTCACTTTGGTGTTTATACAGTGCTTCTATGGTTTCTTTTATTTCTTCTTGTGCTTTTTCAAATTCTCTATTTTTGTTGTCTTGGAATTTCTTGAGTGTCTCCTGTACATTTTGGTTGACCATATCCAATGTTCATCTCTATAAAATTCTCATTGATTACCTGTAGTTTCTTCTTTTAGATTTTCTTGTGGGCTTCATTGGGTTCTTTGGCATAGTTTATCTTCATTTTGTTGGAGTCTGGATCTGAGTATCTGTTTTCTTCATTCCCTCTGGTTCCTGTACTAATTTTGCTGTGGGGAAATCTGGTTTCCCTGTTTTTCTGTCTTCCTGTTATTGCCCTTGATGTTGTTATTATCCTGTACTGTGTGCAATTAAGTATTTTCTAGCTTGTAATAATAACAATGGTGATATTTAGAATGGAAGGGTGAGAGGAGATGGAAAGCAAAGAAGTTAAAGAAAAAGGGAAAAACATATAAACAAGTAAAAAAACAAAACAACAAAAAAGATTTCAAAGATATAAAACAGGAGAGATAGTGTACTAATCAACAGTAAGTTGAACAGGCATTAGGGAGACAGGAGAGAAGATTGAAAAAAAAGATAAAAAAATATATAAAAAAAACTCCAAGTTCAAATGCAATAAGTTTCAGTGGTAATAATTTTGGTGTTCATCCCTCAGCCTCCAATCCTGGAGATGGTTCTCAGAAGTAGTTCTATTGTCTCATCAAAGGGGAGCAAAAATAATAAAAAAAACCAAAACAGCACAAACAAAAAAAAAAACCCCACAAAATGTCCCAGTCAAATGCAATACAGTTTCAGTAAGTTTTCAGATGCAGGTGTAATTCTGGTTTCTCTCATCAAAGGAAGACAGAAAAAAAAAAAAAAGTGCTGGAGATAGTTCTGTGAATGGCTTATCTGCGGCGTGGCTCACCTGCCCGCTGCTGTCAGCCTTGCTGTTGCTGGAGCTTTTTTTGTGCTAGATCTCAGGAGTGAGCTTAACACTCACCTGCCCCACAGGCTTTGTTTACTCAAGAGTTCTCCTGGATTGATGCCACTGCTACAGCTTTCCCCTTTCCAAGCACATGGGGGAGGTGACACTGCACCAGCTTTCTCAGGCCGGCATGTTTATTACATGTTGGGAAGTGGCTTCCCCCTTGTCCTGTGGAGTTTTCCTCCACAGTCACTTTTACAAGCTTTCCCGCTCCTGGTTGCTGGGCTGTGTGGCACCACTCCTGCCTTCTCCAGC